TTTTTAATAGTGTAGTGAACAACTCATTGTAGGTATCTTTTTGAACTTACATACATCTCCAGGTTTGACATAAAGAATTGCAAACAGCATATACAACTTTTACTGAAAAGTGCAAACTTAAATAGATGCTCTCATTGTTGCTAATTATTTTCACAAGTATAACTTTCACTTATAATGCATAATAAAACTTTCACTAATTTCATGAGCAAGGTAAATTTCTCAATTATCATGTTAAAAATATTTTTTGAAAAATTCTAAATAAACTAGATATATTTCTGTACAAGAAAACACAGCATTGATTTTAATATAAAGTTGTATAAGCATTCTTTATGTTGAGTAATATTGGATGTTACTGTAATGGCTTGTGTTTTTTTTTTTTTTTTTACTAAGTATTTACCTATTTATAAAATCTCGCAAATTCTAAATGAGCTATTGCAGTGATTGAGTGAGGGAACTTTACACAACTGAGTGTACAAATACTTTTTCCTGTTTTTGGCAAAATCTTGTTTTCACCACTGACTCAGAATATTTTGTAAGCATGACAATCTGTGTGGTGTTAATGAATAAACATCTGTTATTGGCTCAAACATTTTAAATGAAATATTATAACAGATATTGGTTCAGGTTACAAAATTACTTGAGTTGATATAACTTAAAAAATAAGATCACTAAAATTATTTGGCATATTTGTGGATTGTATGCAAAAATTATGATAATTTTGATAAGTCATCTTAGAGAGATGAAAGATAATAACAGTTATTGTAAATACAAATATATCCATTGCTATTTCAGTGACATTATAATTTATGACATGGGCTTCAGAGTTACTGTCTTCAAGACTGTAAAATGTGAAACCCATGAACAGTAGATGGAAATTATGTATTGCCATCTTGATTTACTCATCAAATAGTGTTACATAGCCTAGTAACCATGATATTGTGGTAGTATGATACATCATATATAATACATAAAATGCAAATCCAGATTTCAGCTTCAAAGGACTAGTTTCACATTAGTCCTGTTAAGAATAATTTACAGTTTTATTTATGCTTCAAATGACATGTTGTTCTTGTTCTTTACATAATAGGTCCTATCAGATAGTCAAAAACATAGTAAAAAATATGTATTGGGCACAGCTAACCATGTGGATTGTTTTTGTATGTGATAAGAATAAGCAAATGTTTTTTAATAATAGAAAGATATTTAAAACCCACAAATGTACAGTTTTAGTAGATTCTAAATTATATATATTATTATTTTTTGAATGAAATATTCTGAATGGGAACATAATTTGAACCTTAGTTCTATGAGGAAGCTTATAATTTAATTCCTCACTTTTTGATTTTATATCTAATTTAAATGTTGTATTATGTAGACATGTCAAGGAAAAAAGTTTAGTATTTCAATTTTAGCTTGTTTTTGAATTTTAATTTTCAGTTTTTTCTTAAAGAATAGTAATGTTAATATAATGTTGAAAAGGTTTTTCGTTGTACAAAACTTGAAGATAGATTTGGTATATTGAAACATATGTTAGCTGAGTTCTTGCACAGATCTTAAAATATAACGTTCATGAATGGAAACATCAGCTCATGTAGATACGTAGATCTTGAAAGTCAAGTTGTTCAAAACTTAAAAATAATGTTGATAACTGGACCAATTGTTGGTTGAGATGTTGCAAAAGAAATATCTGCTGAAGCTTTTCGACAGACACTAATCATAACAGAACCATCTGGAAAATGATGTATAAGAAGTAGTACAGCTTATAAAATGAGTCAGATCAACGTAGGCCAAAACATCATATAAGAAACTAAAACTTTTTGGTACCATATATTTGTGTATTAACCCTTTCGAGACAGGTCATGGGTGAAAGGCCATGTCATCTCATTTGTTGACTCCCATTCAAAATTTTATTGAACTATTATTTTATGAATTTATGTCAGTAAGTTTGGTATCAAACTGTAGATTATAATTCAAATTTTAATACTATATATATATTGTTGTGTATCTGCTTGTTTATTAATTTCCGGTATACATTTTTTCTGAGGAACTTCAGTGATACAAGTCCCTTCTTGATTAAACTTCTAGTACACAGTAATTTCACAATCAGTTCGTTTCTTGTCACTTTAAACTTAACTACTTTTATAATACACTCTATAAATCACAGCAATTCACACACTTCAATTACTGTCACTACTGTTCGCTTCTCTAATTATCTATTCATCATCATGTGTTGCCAGCATCACTTGACTTCCACTGTTGTAACAATATTACTCAATTTCTTAATGTAAAAGCAAATATTAAAAAAACACAGAGAAACATTGATTTTTGTATGTCACTTGGTATGTTGAATGCAGCATTGGTTCGAATTAGATGTATGTGAAGTCAAAATATTAAGTCTATAGTTTAGAATGAATTAGAAACTCAAATGAACAATATTGACAAGCTAGAATATAAAATAAGAGCCTCTTATCTTTTCAGTTTCCTAAGATATTACTCGTGTAATAAACACAGTGACACCCTGCCCACCTCTTTCCATTTTTGGAAATGCTCCCTTATATACACTTACTTCTTTATATGACTGAATAACCAATAGGAAGCTTAGAAAGTCACCCTAGTGGCTTTATCACCCCTTTTAACAAACTTGGCACCATTGCTTTCTTTTGAACCAATATTTCAATGAGGTAGAGTGTGTCTTTAGTCTGCTCGAAATTTCAAATTTATTTTAGACTAAAATACATTTTTAGTTACTAATCTTGATAATTTATAGTGGAATTCTATTGTATTAATGTAGTAATTTATGATTTTTTAGTTATTCAAATGTATATATATAAAACCTAAAAAAATATTTTGTTTCATATCCTCCACGTACAAAATTTTTAAAGGCTTAACAATCTATGTAAAGCAGCAACTGAGTACAAAGGTTGTAACTAGAAGAGATAATTGTTTGCTTTTACTTCTTTATTTACTGTTTTATGTTTTAGGAAAAATCAGTTTAAAACTTATTTCAAAATAGCAAAAATCTATATACATATATAATGTATAATAATTGAAATGTGACTGTATTTTACAAAATACTAGTCTACTAAAACACAGCCAAGACAAGTTACTTTGTACAAAGCAAAGGTCAGTTTTATGTTATTTGTTATGGTAGCATGAGCGCACGTGAGCCGCATCATTGTAGCTTCTGTATTGTTAGCCAGGCACGACTGAAAGATCAATATAATAATAATAAATATATAGAAATGTATAATGTCATGAGATTTAAGCTATTTATTCTAAAAATTTATGTTCTTGTGTTATAATTTTTGTTCATTCTAGAAGGAAAGAGGCAAAATTTATATTTCTTTCTTAATTTTTATTGGTGTTATGAGATCGGTCAAATCTACCAGACCCGTACAGAGATTGATTACTGAAGATAACAGATAAAGTATAAAGTTTTTTCTTAAAAAAATGTTTGATAACTATCCGGATATTATAAAGATTTCGCATGTGAAATTTCAAAATTTTCTGATGCATAAAAGTATTTTTAATCTTAAAATGAATATTACTTTGCATGATAGGTAGGAAACATGCAAAATGAAAAATAGACATGAGAAAAACATTGCTTTATAAACCTTAAGACTTAATAAACAAATTTGATATTTTGCATATGAAAG